TTATTATTATTATTAATTATTATTATTATTAATTATTATGGCTATAGCAAGAGTAAAAGGAATGAAGGAATTATGCAGTTTGCAGATTGTTTTAAAGTCGATTTGACTCGTCAGTTGGCTTTGACTCAAACCTTAAATAGCCAGGAGATGCGACAGGGAAGCGTCATGCTAGTAATATGTTGCCTGCCATATAGGACGATATGCTCCGCTCGATTGATACCCAATAAGCGGGCATATTTCTGGAATATTTCTGGTGGATACATGGCATACGGTTCATAAAAACTAGGATAGGTAGCAGTGTTAAGATCCATGTGAACCGCTTGTGGGATATGCTTTTCCAAATAGTCGCGATACTGCCTAAAATTGATTAAATATTACAAGAGGAATATTACCTATGCCTTAATTGCCTCAAAAGATTCACTACTAATTGATTCAGTACTTCGTATTCATATCCATCATTTCCTCGAATCTTCCATATTTGGTTTTCATGAAGTGATCATGATTTCGTGGTTGAAGGTCTCCTCCACAGTCCAATAATCGATAACCACCACCATTTTTGAAGTTACCTTTCTGGAATTAACCATTTTATACACAATCTCCTGTACCGTTGAATCTGCACAGAAATGAAGTAACGATTTCTTAAAACTTTTGATTGCTTCAAGTATAACATACCTTCAGAAGATCAGCAACCACTGATGTACTGATAAAATTTCTTAGTTTCATCTTACACTCTTACTTCTATTCCTTGAAAAGCACATGGATTAGAGGTAGATTTAAATTCAGTAAATACGACCACGATACTTTAAAAAACGGACCACGCAGAACCTATCGTAGAATACTCAGACTGTACTGACCTAAACTAATGTGCATTTAATCCGTACAGTTATTGGACAACAGCTTCACGCTATCCTCTTGTAACTCTACACCCATAACACGAGCTGATTCTTACACAAATTCATTATGATCATTTTTGGCCTTGCTCGATTATTAGGTTTGAACGCCTACAACTTCCATGCATTTTTAAAGGACAGCTGATGTGAAAGAAAATGAAACTTAAGGGATGACGAAAACCAGGACCTTTCAGATATAAAGCACTCAAACAGTCGGCTGTCATCGATTAATGTTCGTTGGTTAGGTGTACACCGGCCACGAGTGTGTCTATTTTACAATGATCAGCGGAATGACGATGCAGACGGCAAGAGTTCTGCATATTCGAGTAGAAGAGCTTTGTTCTGTGATGATAAAAATAACAATGACATTGATAATAGTTGCGATATTAATATTAATTGTACCGATAACGCGTCATGCATATTTCTTTTAGTCATATAATCATAGCAAAAGATCCAGAAAACTTTGCGTCTAATAGTCATAGGCGTTATTTTTGCTATTTACTATTTTTGAAAATATTTAGTGTGCCGATATATGTCATCCTTACGTTTCAGTTTTTCACTATTAACTTTGGATATCGTATATATTGTGCATTATACTTCCATCTCTTCATTTTGATCCTTTGTTATCAACGTTACGTAATGTAGAACAAAACCATTTCAAAGTTGGTTTTATTTATGGTTGGACTTGCTAGTAACATCAGTTTGCGCCAAATATCGTTTTAGTGATGTATTTAATAGTTAGATTTTCAAAACATCTATGAAATGTGAAATCTCGACAAAACTTAAGAAATTAGAGATCAAAAGGTTTGTTTGCATATTGTTTTAAATCACAATTCATATTTGTAAGAAATGTTTTTTTACCTAGTATGCAGCATTCTGATATCATATCATGATACCATCTTAGTGATTTCTCACTTCGGTTCTGCCATTCAGACTTTTGCAATGATGAATAATAATTCTTAACATAGCTGAAAACATAAACGAGACGAAAAGCTTATTAAATAGCATTTACGATCTAATAAGGAATTCTGAAATTTTCAAGTACATAGTACTTGTGTACCTCTGTCAATTTGAGTATCGTTGTGATATATCCAAGATTTTTAAAGCTGTTGCTAAGGTTACACTTCCTTTTTTCACCAATTTTCTTCTTTTTTTAAAAAAAAAATAATTCGAGGAATATCCTACAAGAATGAATATTCAAGATTTCTCGAGGATTAAAACGAATTCTAACAAATTATTATAATTCAACCCGTAGAAAAGATGTAATCTTTCTAATAATATTTTATGACTTGTAGGTGAGATGTACACGTGTAGATGCGCTGTTGTTCTTGTTGAATCATATTGCGTAAGAAGGAAATATTAGGGAGACGTATTGTGTTATAAACTCTCTGATGTGTAAATAGAATGAAGTGACCAAGGACACTGATTCAAGTTGCCAAGATGATCATTATACAGATTATACAGGTCGGCGAGCAATTCAAGTTTACAGGTCTATAAATCATTGCGCAGATTTCTGTGAGAACATTTGCCAACACATCTGAACTGTCGTTACATCAACGGACGACCCAAACGAAAAGCAGAATGCAAGCAAGCATGCAATGAGTGCAGTTCCGATTTCTATAGACAATTCGACATACGAAATTATTGATGAGAGAAGTAGTACTATTTATAAATCATCTTAACAATGAAATCTTTTTTGAACAACTGTATTTTCACCACTTCTTCAAATTTCCGGAAGCAATAAAAACAGTAATAAAAGAATCATCGATGATGTATTCTGTCTATTGAAGAGAACTCGAAAATATGTTCTGCGGTCAGTGGTTAAAAAAGAACACATATCTTCTCGTTTCTGACTTAATTATATGAGGATTACCCATCCTCATATTTTCCGATTTCAGATAAAAACATCCAAATTCTTGTTTTCATTACAACGACGATTCCTTCCATCACTTTTATTTTAGCTGAAAAATCTGCAGCGCCAAATATCGGAGCTTCATGGGATAATTGTGAACAGTAAAGGATTAACTAGAGATTTTAAATGAAGTTGTAATGTTAAAAGTGCAAACTTCCTGAAAAATATCTCAAAATCATCTCTCAAATATAGTATCGTATCTAATATGAACGATATTATTCTTCTAACTAATGATAAGCTCAGCATTTATTCTTAATTTCATTGGAGTTGAAAAAAAACTGGAAATTTTCATATGCATAGATGGATGGTGAATTATCATTAGTTTGACTCTCAAGAGGACATAAAAGATTCCAAGCTGTGACTGTTTAGCTATTGTTTAGGAAATTGTTAGTGGTGAGTAGCAGTTGAGGGACATGCGATGTTAGATTCATGGCTTAAACAAGAATCGTTTAATGTTTACATTTACTCACAGGTTACCTATGAAAAAATTGATTTCGCTTAACATGAAATTTTCTGCTCACTAATTTAACGATCTTCTAAATTAGAATTGATGCTTGTTTATCGATTTGTTTATCAACCCAAAGTAGACCATGATGAAAAAAATGTCTCAAATAACTTTAGCATTCATAAAATTGTTTGCCACAAGACTTCAAAGTGTATCTATCCCTAATCTGAAAGTTAGTTGTCAAGACTACACTTGGTGACTATCAGAATAATTTTTTTCCGATTTTTTACAGTTGTTGCAAATGGTAATTGTAATGACAGTAGTAGTAATGTGTGCACTGCGAAGGGGTAAAAACGAAGATTTAACAAAGGCTTCGAAAATTGTTTCCATGCCTGAAGTAAATCAAAAAATTTATCTTAAAAAATAGTAAGTAGTTTGAGGAACTGAAAAATAAGTAATACGTGCCAAACCGAGTGAATGCCAACAAAGTTGCATGAAAGTTTTTTACTTCGATATCGAATTTAAGCAACTAAAAATTTTCGTTTCAATTTAAGTAACCAAAATTTTCTGTTAAGGAATGACAAAATATATAAGAAAGTGAAATTTACAGGTGCGAAAGTTCAAATTAGATTTATCCGAGAAACAGGAGCAAGAAGTGGATGTAGATTTGGATGCACAGTTTGACGATATCGGAAACGAGGCACCAGTGGCAGTGAATGTAACACCAGAAGTTGTTTCCCCCAATGCTCTGCAGGTTGTTGTTGAAATAAGAATCTTGACGCTCCAACAATTCCCTTGCAGTGATTTAAGAATATCATGTATCGTGCTCATCTTTCTTGTATCATCAGTTACCTCCTTACCGATATATTCCTTTGTGGATGATGTGGACTTTCCCTTTCTTCTCCTCTTCTCTCATTCTAGATAAATGAAAAGAGGTTGAAGAAGAAAGTGTTTCAGTTTGTTTTTCAAATAACTGTGAACACGACGACCCGATATCATCAAACGCAAGGCCACATATCACAAACAACTTTTGAGGGCTAGGCTAGATTTTTTTTTCATTTGAGGATCAGCTGAATGATTGGCCTGATTGTCATCATTGATATTCCCTCAATCTCTTTTCGTCCTTTACTTTTCTTACCTTTGTTTTTACAAGTCATCTTTCCTTAACAAATAATTATTAATTTCTCAAACTTGAGCACTTAAACCTAACTAAACTGAGAATAATCTGTCCTTCCTGACCTCCTTGACTCACTATCTCCCTAGTTTCCATAAAGATTCTACAATATGTATTTTCTTCTTAAAGAATGACAAAATGTGGTGGATTGCTATTTGAATCCAGCTTGCTTACTCTTCCTTTTTCTTTTCTTCTTTTATCCACAATTAGCAACAAATAACAACGAACAGTAGCGAAGAAATAAGCCAAGTTACAAAATTACTTTTAGAAAAGTAAACAAAAAAGTGAAGGATGTAAAGGGGCTAGGAAAGAAGAATCAACACAAAGTAGTTTGAAGAAGCAGAGAATGCCGAGAAAAAGCATGCATAGCCAACTAGTCTCGAGAATTACAAAAGATTTGCAAGAGAAGAAGCAATGGGAACAACCCATCGGAGGCAAGCAAGTATCGTTTTAGTGTCACATTATCATCTAAAGGCGACTAAGGGAAGGAAATAACGATAGGAGTACTCGGATAATGCTCCACAAATGCCATAACACAAATACCAACGTAGAAGTGTCGGGGGGTCATGAAGAAAGAGGTTTAAAATGATCCTTGGACCATTTGAATACCTAAATTTATGTTCTAAGTTTCTCACATTTGTTGAGTTCTTCATTCCATAGCTGAAAGGCGATAAAAGGAAAACAAAAATAAAAGACATTTTGATTGGTAAATGAAAGAACATCCGAGGATAAATACGAATCCTTCTGGCAAATATGAAAGATACTTGAATGCATTTGCTGTACATGAATTGAACATAACTAAGATATTAACTTTATTGAACAGAATGTCGTCAATCCACCAACTCAAATAGATCAGAATAAACAGAAAACTAATCCAACACAAACGGAAGCTTCAAAATCGATCGAAACATGATATGATTTGTATATATATATGCATGCTAATTTCCACTGTTCGTGTTGAATTTGATAAATAAAAGAATAATCAACCAAAATCATCCTCTTATCCTTCTTTAAAGTTTTAATTACTCCACAGTGTACAACCATGTGTAATCACAATTAAAATTACTTTATCCGAAAGTGCCAGTATTGGTCAGTTTCTTGCTAAGTGTACATAGTTCTTAAATTAATCTATATTGTTTTCAGATTACTTGGTACTGTCAACATATGAAAATTTTCACTATCTTACCAATTCAACCTGAACATGTCATTTTTCAGTCAAGCATGTAGTTCTGCAGTAGTTGTGCCGAATGTATTTTTATCAGGACAAAAAACGTCCGTTATAGTACAAAAGTAGCCACAGAATTTCAACAACATTAAGACCTTATTTAGAGGATCTAAAGTCCAAACACTGGTAATAGTCTTCAAAGTAGGCTATGTGTAAAGCAGAAATCAGACTTTTAAACTTATTACTTCCTTCAGTACTAGCAGGAATTCTTTTATAAAGTCATAAGTGATAAAGTTCTAAGAAATTATCAATATTATAGCATCTAGACCAGAATGCAAAAGTCAGAAGACAGTATTAGATAGCCTCAGAAATTACCAAAATGAAATCATTTATCCTTCCAATATATATTAACATCAAATGATTTCAATCAGTTTTCCCCTTTCCTTCTATAGTAATTAGTCTCACTCAAAATTCTATAAAAATTAGAAATAATTTATAAACTTCGACAATAGTACCACATGAATCCATCCACCATTGAACACAGGAATTTATTTGCAATAGTGTATAAGTCTAATTTGCACAAACGATTTATGACTACTTTCGTGATGCTCACGTTACTTTCAGACGCTGCTACAAACATCCCCCATGGTTTTCTTGAACATATAAGTATCATTCCCTGAAATTCGTGTAAACCTTGGTTAATTCCATTTCATGTCTCATCTATTCTTGCAAATGAATATCTCCCAAATCCACAAAGATACTCCATATCATTAATTATACCAGTTTCTGTCTTGATCTCAGATTATTACGATTTCTAATTTTCTTTTCCAACAGTGCAATAGTCTGCCTTGATAATTTCATGGTAGGTTCGGTATTAAATGTTGTCATGCATTTTAGAAGAGAGATCGTTTAACAAATTGGGAAGCCATCCATTTGCATGACGCAAAAGAAATAGATGTTGCACGCGAGAGTAATTGCTATCAACTGCAAATCGATAAATTTTGAGAATCGAAATCCAGCCATTCCCTACTTTTGAAGTCATACCCATTTTGGAGGCAGAGAAGCAATGATAATGAATGATCAGCGAATGATTATCAGCCGGAGTACAATTTTTCACAAATAGATCATATGACAATAAATCTTTATTGCCATATGATCTATTTGTGAAAAATTGATAATGAATAATCAGCGATAATGAAATTGACAATGAATGATCTGCTTTTATACAGTCGTAATTTGGAAATGATGAAATTAATGACCATATTTATAAACAAGTAAAGAAGTAGTGTAAAGCATAAATCACAATTAACATATAGTATCCTTTGAGCAAAAACAAATCACCTCATTAAAATCGATTCTAAGTTTAACATGACAACAATTTCTATCACCAATATTGCACTAGCTCCTCATTCTGAGGTCAATTGGATACAATTAAAATAAGAATACATGACGCTTTTTGCTTGTATTTATCATCAACCTCCTTCCAAGAAACTCTCTATAATCGCCTCAAAAATTCAATGTGCATAAAATTGTCACATTTCCGTACTTGATTTGTTGACAAACAACTGTATATGAGTTTCAAAAAAAGCTAAGAAAATTTAAAAAGAAAAACCAATTGATTTCGTTATTTACAAGAACAAAATGTTTACAACCGAAAAATTCTTCACTACACACTATTTATACCACTCTTTTATTGTTATGAATTTTTGCAAAGAAAAATCAGTGTAGCAGTGCAACTACTAAAGTTATTGGAACTTCAACTTTAACTAACATTCGTATTGCTAACACAACGATTAAGTAAATCTGAACTAACACTGCCTGCATTTGCTGATCAGGTGAAGGTGAAAACGACATCTGAAATAAGAAGTACCACAAAGCATATCATCTGCTTCCTGTTTGTATACATGATATTGATGCTTGTCAGAGTGCCAAAACAAGAAGTAACATAGTCTAGTTTTTTGTCTATTCCTAATAGGTGACATTTTTCACTAAATTGCTTAATTTTTTGGCGAGTTTTTTTCCTCTTAGAAATGAAAAAAGGATGAAGGCAAGAACAATGATTCTATACAATAACAGTTTCATACTGAGCAACTGATGCTGATTGCAGTGGTTTGCTTTCCGGTATTGGCTTTGATAACGATATCTTCTTTAAGCATAAATGAGCAGGCGTACGTAAATACTGCTTAAAATAGGTCTGAAAATACCAAAATGAAGAAACAAGTATGTAGTCCATTTTAAGCAGTATTAAAAGTTAAATTAAATTAGAACTGAAAAAAGTTGAAATTGGAACTCGAAATTAAGTAGAGTTATTGAGATTATTTGCTACCTGCTCTGCATCAAAGTTAATTTTTATGGGAGGCAGTGAATATTTGGGATGGAGATAATCGCTTAATGGTGGTGACTGAACGTTGTATGAGGAATATCTCCTGTCCAGCTTTTCCGTTGACTCAAAAATTCTATGCGTGCACTCTACCGACAACCTAAAAAACATTTCCGAAATGCAGGACCGAAATTCACAATCTGAATTGAATGAACAAATTAGATCTATTCAAAATAACCAGAATTGAGCTTTCGAACATTAAGTAATAACTTGAAAACTAACGAGCTAGAAATAGTGGATTCAACATCGCCATATCTAGTGTTCCGTCTTGGTGACTTCACGGCGCAAAATGGAATTTCTTTCCTTGGATGAAACATCATTGGTATTAGAGTACACCATCCCATGAAGAAACCAATCAGTACAACAGTGTAAATGAAGAGCACGGATATTGTAATTAAAAGCAACATACAAACGTTGATAACCTTAATGACATCCCTGCTAGCCAAACCATATGCTTGCTTCTGATCTTTCTATAATACCACTAGTGTTATCTCTTAGTTCAATGAAATAAATCACATATTTGTTCCGCTAGTACGTAATGATCTCGTAACGATCAATATACCGCCGCTTATATCATTTGGTACTTTGAAAACATCTTCGTAAAAAGATAAACATCAGTATATAGTCCCTCTCTAATACATATCATCTATAATGGGTTTAATAAAATGAAAATCAAATTGGGGTAGTAGTGTAAGCTACAGAAATGCCTGGTAGAATGGAGATAATAGGCGCAGATTATCTCATACAATCCCATAATCAGTAAGATAACATCTCTGTATTAACATACAAAATATTGTTTACATTGAAGATTACTCTTTCCCTCATTTCTCCACCATTTACCGTAACAATGTTTCGAGCGTTGAAAAAGTATCTGTACTTCTAGAGAAATATTCATACAAGCAAATGGAAAGGATGATTTGAATAAAAAATATTTCTAATGTAAGAGACTAAGACAACAAAACTGTCTAGGAGTTGAACAGGAACTCAGAATTAAATTTGGCCAGGAAAATTTCGTTTTAAGAGATGACTTGATTATTGCGTCATATGGATTCGAATTAGTTTCCTTTTTCTGGTTAAGAAAATCTTCTCAGAAAGACGGTTGATATAATTGATAACGGTAATCCGATTAACGATATCTCCCTGTCGAGATCAGGAGAATGTTACATCTCAGAATACATTGTTAACGTAATGAAAGGTAACTAACATTTCAATCGTTCTATGAAAAATGTTGAAGAATAAATGAATAGTTACTGCTCATAGCTTGTTTGCCTTGAAAAGTACTTAATCTAATGCTGTCGGGTTAAATAAAATCGTTTTGATAATTTATGATTAATTCGTGAAATGGAAAAAAGATCCATTGTTCCCTTATTTCATCAGATTTTTCGCATCATCATTCGGATGGATATTTCCAGAAGGATCTAAGTATGCGAACAAGGATCTTCTTTCCATTTGGAGACACGAAGATTGAGTGGAAAGGAGAAAACGAAGACCGCAGAAGTGATAACTATTGTATCGTCACAAGGTCCATCAGATTTTGAACTCTCAATCTTGGTCCAAAACCTGAAAGTAGAACTTGAAAGGTAGTAAGGTAACTTCCTTTACCCACTTTGTTTGAAGTAATTCCTTATCAGGATCCCGCGCCCAATCACTGTCAATATTGATAAATATAAATAGCAAAAAGGCAGTTAATTAACATTTGTGAGAATGGCTTGAAAATGTTTAAAATCTACTTGATTCTAAGATAACTGTGATATATAGAAGCAAAAAGTTTTGTCAGTTTATTCATTTATTTTTTCCAATTTTTTAAAAGTCTTATACTTCTGAAGTAAAATTTCAAATGACAGAAATTATTTAGAAGAAAATTCAATTTGATGATTGCAATAATTTCAATTGAAGTCTTTTTATTTCAAGCCCTGCTACTATTATCGCAAGTGGACAAAAAATTCTAATCACATTCTCAAAAGGTTTTTAAAATTGGAGGATAATTCATATGGATGAGTTACGAGCAACAGTTAATTAGTTGGTGATCCTTTTACAGAAAAAGAGGGCTGATAATATTTTCATAATAAGTGAAAAATCAGTTAATTTGAGCTAATTTCTTGGAGTAACTGAATGTTGGGTTAAGTGCGCAGAATGCTTTTCAGAAGTTGAAGTCAATTGATGGAATAAATTCATCGAAAAATGAACTATGAAACCGAAAAATAATCTCGAGGAATAATTAAAGTATTTACAAGCATTTTCATGGATCCATTCATCGATCTCAAAAAGAACTGACTGCAATTTTTCTTGGCTTAGAAAACAGCCTAACAAAGTTTCGTACCTCCTTGAATTTTGTTCAAATTTCAAATTTGATAAAATTTCTAAACCAATAAACAAACTGTTGACGGCGTCATTCGTTCTGTCGATATTACAATCATTCCAGATCCTGACCGGTGTTTACTGATGTTCAACATGGAAAGTGCGACAAGAGTAATTGATGTTTAACAGATGATATGCTTACGATGCAAATGCTAACGAAAATAAAAGCTAAAGTTGATGAAGGGAACTGATGCATACAACTGAAACATGTGGTTAGTTGGACAACAGAGAGAAGAAAAATCAAAGCAATTAGCTCTAATTATAGAAGCTGAGATCCATTTATATGCGGAAAATCCTTACTTCCGGAAGTTCAAAAATCTTTAACTACCAAACTTTCAAATCTTCAAACCTTCAGAGACCTTCAATCAATAAATCTTCAGAAATCTTCCACTTTCCAGAGGCACCAGTAGTCGATGAACACAACGGTTTATATAAGTAATATGACGGATATGGGAAGTACAATATGAGGAAAACTGAATACCAGCAATATCTTGACCGCTTCTCCGTCTTTTCGAGAGGTTCGCTTTCATCAATCCATTTTTGCCCGCATTTCTCATTTCTATAGATCTCTATAGCTTCACATATTATCTTTTTCCTGATCGGTTATTTATGCATTCATATCTTTTGTTTTCACAAAGCTGTAGAATGAGAAATTCACTTCTACACTTCAATATTATCAAAATTCGGAGCTTACGTGTATAATTTCAACATAATAGTGAATTGGAGAAATTTCCGGAGTGTGTAGTTTCTGCAGAAGAAGGTGGTACCGGAAATTCGGAGTGTGTAATTTTTCCAGAAGGTTGTATTCTAATTTCTGTTTGAAGTGAAAAAAAAAAACTCGAATTTGCTGAAATATAAAAGCGAGCATAATTTACATACGGAGACTTGATTAATTCCTATTTCAGTGATGTAAAAAAGTGTCAAATTTCATCATCACGGATACACATATCGGATTCACTAAGAAAAGAAAGGAAGAAAGAAATGGGATTGACAGGAGGCTAAAAGATGTGCAATATACGTCATCCGGAAAAGAATATGGAGTTAATTACTGGTAGTTCTATTCCATGCTTTGTTTAGTTTCGAATTATCGGAAATATTTTTATGAGCCATTCTTGCTGCAGCCAATCTTATTGATGGCCACTTTCAAGTGAAGAAATATCTTGCCTAATCCTCAACACAGAAAGTTTTTCCCACTTTAGTTCAAAATAATAGCCAAAGGAGTTTGCTGTGTTCTTACTGGAAGTGAAGGACTTTTCTGCTTGTAAGTTTGAAAATTTCAGCGTACCCGAGGTAATGTCACGTTAAAATAACCAGCGAACACGATGAGTTTTGTGAAGTTCATCTAAAGCGCACTCGAAATCTCACGATCAGGAAAAAGTATTGTGAGCATCATTAATATTGTTCAATCTATGCAGTGTGTCTTTGCGCCACTCAGAGTTTAATTCGAAGCATAGTAAGAATTTAACTTCCAAGGAAAACCAAAGATGTGAAACATGAAAGATTATTTTATAATGATGGAGTCACACCTACTGTTTTATTTAATTTCTCTTAATACATATCGAACTCAAGAATAATTTTTAAAAAGGGAAATAGGCTTTAAAAGTGGTCATGTGAACAGAGCAGTTAAATTTAATGTTAAATGGGAATAAAAACAAACGGAAACGAATAATGAAAGTGATAAAAAAGCTGATAATAAAGGACACAAAAGATTCGTATTATTTTATAATTTTGGTTGCTTCGACTCGAATAAAGTAATTTTTTTGGAGAAAAGAAAGCAAAGATTCAGAATGCTATAAGAAATTCACCAAAAATATTTCAACTAAAAAGATCAATAAATTCCCTGTACTTGAATTCCAATTCTTTGTCTACAACAAAACAATCTATTCATATCGTAGAATCTTCATATCAGTATTAATCGTGATAAAAAATATAACTTGCCAAACAGTGTGAGCGATAAGTAACTCGTGAACTGAGCAAAGATCAATCGGATAAAATGTCATGATACTATGAGAAAGAATGCTTTATCGAAATAATTGGGAAAAACTACGAGTTTCTACATATGTGACATTTCTGAAAAAAAAGAAAGGAACAATGGAGGCTTTGCGTAGCAAAAAAAAAGTGATCCTGTGAGAATGAGTCATATTCATTAGTAATATTATAGACGAATTGTATAGTGTCTCACTCATTCATAAAATCCGACTCATCAGACTTCCTGTGACGTCAGTCCAACAGAGATAAATGGCAACGTCTCAGCTATGCAGCTTGAAATATGCCGAAAGATTGCTTATACATGATTAGGCAACGTATGATTAGGCAGCATTAGGATGCCTTCTGTCTAATGGTGTCATATGGATGGCAGTTAGCTAGCGATTAATGAATGCAACATACGGTTGTGACAACCGGAAAAAGAGACGAAAAATGGCACCACCTGACCCTGAAAATTAATAAGCGATGTTACTGCGACACTTATGAATCAAATTTTGATTTGCGCTCTTCTTAATAAGCAATGCTGTTGTGACATTTATAAATCAGATTTTTGAGAAAGAACAAAATTTTATTCGAATACATGCAATGCATTATTTTTGAGACAGAAATTTTTAGGAGAAATTGGTTTTTTCCTGCTGTGACAAAATCCCGCATGTTTTCATTTAATTTATGTTCCCCACAACTTCGCTTGAAAGAGATTACAGTATGGAAGTATAGTCATCGGCAATTCGGTGTGCTATTACTACGAAAACAAGATAGTCCTTTCAATTTGCAGCCTTCTGACTGCTAGAACTTATTATGGAATGAGAAATTCTATTATTTCACAAATGCATCCATAAATAATGGAAAAAATGATAACAAGGAAGAACTCAGAAAATTATTTCGAGAAAACGACAAAATGTCAAAATGAATTCAATATTGAAATGAGTCTAAAATACTAGCTCAAACTGCGAGATAATTTTTCCGCAACGACTTCTCATTAACATCATCATAATTATTATTAGTAGTAGAAGAATTGACTGTTACAGTTGAAAAAACACTGGGATTGAAAACTTATTGATTCTCAGATTACTTCCAATTCCTTACTGTTTTTGGGTTAAAATTTGCGTAGGTAATAAATTTGGAAATTGAT